CTGCACACTGTTTAACCATTCCTCAATCAATAGACATTTGCTCTGTTTACAATTCTTTGCTCATACAAAAAAGCATACAGAGCCTTTCTGTTTAATCAATGACTTTCTTGGGGTATTTGTTTAGCAGTGCAATTCCAAATTGCTTTCTAGAATGGTTGTCCCAATTCCCAGCTCCACTAACAAAGCTTTAATGTGCTTATCTTTCTGGGCGTTTTGTTATCTCAGTCAGTTAGCTGGGTTTGAAGTGAAACCCCAGGGCTGTTTTGATTTGCATTTCTCTTATTATTAGTGATCTGGAGCATTCTTTCATATGTTAATAGTTTGCAGTTCTTTTGAGGACTATTTGTTGTTTGTGACCAAAGACGGCTTATCGTTTGGGGAGTGTCCTTTGGTCTTGCATATTTGTTAGTTGTCTACACAGCTTGGATATCAAACTCTTATTAGAGAAACTTGATATAAAGCTTCTTTTTCCTAATCAATTGCTTTCCCTTCTTAGCCTACATGGATTAATTTTATGCAAAAGCTTTTCAATTTCATGTAATCAAAATTATCTCTTTGATCTTTGGTAGTTACCTCTATTTCCTTGGTTAAAAATTAATTTCCTACCCATAGCTATGAACAGAAGATGATCTGTTTCTCCTCTAATTCTTTTATGGGATCTTCAGGTCGTGTCTCAATTTTGAATACATTGTGGAATATGGTCCAAGATCTTGGTTTACTTCTAATTAAACTCAATGTCTTAGAACAGAACTCATTATCTTCCCCCCCCAAACCTCCCTATTACTGTACAGGGCAACCACCATCCTCTCAGTCATCCAGGCTCACAATCTAGATAATACCTCAATTCCTCCCTCTCACCCCACCCCCACATCCAATTTGTGACCAAGACCTGTGGACTTTACCATCACAACCTGGTTCTCTTCCACCTTTCCAGTCTTCTTACCAAACTACCTGCTCCCCCCTCCCCCACACTTTGTAATTTAGTGATAATGGCCATGTACAAGCCATTCTATTTCCACTCACCATGCATTTGTACTGATGATCCTGAATTTTCCCTCCTCATCTTAGTTTCCTGGCTTTCTTCAGCTGAAATTCTACCTTCTGCAAGAAGCCTTTTCCAGTCTTCCTCTGAGATCACTTCCCATTTACATTGTATATATTTTGTAGGTACAGAGCTCAAACGTGGTCTCCTGTATTAAACTGATCCCTTTGAGGACAGGGGACTGTTTCTGTCTTTGTTCATATCCCCAGTGCACAGTGCAACAAGCACACATAATGCTTGTTGACTGAGAGGGGGGTAGGGATGTGTGTCAAAATTAACTCCACAGATTTATTTATAGAGTATCTGCTGAATAGGAAACATTGCTAAGTATAGTAGAGGGATACAAGTCCTGATGGAACTCAGAAAGCAGGAGAATGTCACAGTAATTAGAGGAGTACAGATAAGGATAGGATCCCAGTCAATTCTCATTTGGAGCCAAGAACTCTTGACACTAATCTTTCACTCCTTCAATCTGATCAAGTCCTTGAAAAACTTTAATGACCCTGTCCCCACACTCTCTATATGATAACTACCTAATTTCTTAGCCTGAGATTCAAGGCCTTTTATAACTGTCCCAGCCTAACCCCTTTATGTACCCTAGGCACCAGCCAAATTGGACTCCTTGCTTTTCCCAGCACTTGTTCCCCAATCTCACCAAGTCTGTACCTCTGCAGATGTGGTTCTGTCTCTGAGCAAAAGCAAAGAGCTAGGAATTAACATAAGTGTTTGTAGGACAATGTACAGAATCATTCAAGGCCAAGGCTGTGCTACTTCCTCCATGAAGCACCATATCCTTTCACTGTGAAGAGATCTCACCTTCTAAACTTTATTTTCCTCTTATGCTACAAAGATAAAACCAAAACACTCCATCTCCAAACCCTGGGCTTTTCACTGTTGTTTCACCACAACTGGAATCATCTCCCTCCTCATTTCTACCACCTGGCTTCCTTCAAATCCCAGCTAAAATCTCACCTTCCATAAGAAAGCTTTCTCAATCCTCTTTAATTCTAACGGTTTGCCTCTGTTGATTATTTTCAGTTTATCCTGGATATGGCTTATTTGCACACAGTTGTTTGCGTGTTATTTCCTCCATGAGACTGTGAGCACCTTGAGAACAGGTTTGTCTTTTATCTTTTTTTGTATCCCCTGTGCTTAGTACGGTACCTGGAACATATCAGGCACTTAATGAATGTTTATTAACTGACTGAACCCTGCTTTATGTTCCCTATTAGATTATAGCCCCTAGCATCTGGCACAGCATATTAAATCCATCAGGAATCAGATAAATGTTGTTTTGATCAAAGGAATGAAAGTATCTGGCAGTAATAATAAAGTTCAGGGAGGAATTGATTATGACAGCAGCCAGTTTACCTTTGTAGCAATTTGAGTAGAACATGCACTCATTAATCTAATTATTGATGTTGCTAATTGTCTAGAGGAAAAGGAAGAAATCCATATATAAAGAAACACAGTAAGATAACAAGGAGTAAAGAAATTATAGCTAAATCCAAAAACCTGAGTGAAGATTAGCTACTTTTCAAAAATGACCCAGTGCTTTTTAAAATGGACAAAGACTTCAATATTACAAAATTCTTAAGAAAAGATGCTAACTCTATCTTGGTAGAAAGATAGAGGGAATAAAATGTTTTCTAGGAGCTTTCTTTAGTACTTTTCTACTGTGAAGGGTGTACCAAGTCAACAAAAGATTCTATTTTCCTCTGTTCCTAAGCAATTGTGCTGTTTTTAATAAGACCTATTTATTTATATGAACAGTAAATCTTTCATTTGTAGCTTTGGAGGGGACGATGCATTACATTTCTACCAATGGTGCGAGAATATGTACAAATCAAAGTATCCACAAAGAAAAGAAAATTGAATAATTCAAGGAAAAAAAAGTTCCTTTTCATTTAAATCTGGTCTGTTGACCACTTTGAGCAAGATGGTGCTTGTGCACATTACCCCAGGGTCCATAGTTCGGTCTCTTATAGTAATAAAAATGCAAGGTTACCTTCTACTGAAGGAGTTGTTGTCATTTTCTGGAAGTACTTGAATTCATTCCTAGTAACAGGTGAGACACAGGATTAGGTAACATCAACAGTAGAACGCATGCTGATGGACTTTGCTTAGGAGACTCCAGTTGGTTCTTTACACTGCCCAGCCCCCTGAACTTGGTCCTGGCCAGATGACCTGACCTTCGTAACGGGACTGTGCACTTTACCCCGCCCCCCCCTACCCCCGACCCAGTGCATTTGCAGCCTCCGCCCTACTCCCCACCCTTGTCCCCTCTTCCCCGGTCCCTAAAGGTGAGCCCAAGGGGCACTGGAAATAGCCCATTTTACAAAGCCTGTTTCACCATCCTTTTAACAGCCCCATCTCTCAGACGATGCCTCCCAAGCCCCACCTCGGGGCAAAATCAGGGCTGCCTGCGGAGGAGGCATCATTCCTGTCCGGCCCCCACTTCGCCCTCCCCTAGGCAGGTCAATCAATCAAACAATGCTTTTCATTTATTTAGGTGCATTTATTTATTAAGCGCCTACCATGTGCCAGGTATTTTGCTAAGCGCTTGGGATGCAAAAGCGAGGCAAGACAGTTCCTTCCCTCAAGGAACTCCGCATGCATTAAGCCCCCGCTCCCGACTCTGCCCAGGTGGGGTGAGCGAGGTACCTGAGCGGGGGCCAGGGCAGCTCCCCGTTCTTCCCTATGCCCATGTTCTGGGCCACAGCGACGATGCAGTTGATCGTGAGGACCATGTCTGCAGGCAACCTGCTTCTGGAATGCCAGCGGTGCAACTGCTCTTTCCCCGCGCACCCAGCGAATAACTGAAGAGTCCGCGCAAGCCCCTTATTGGAGGAGATAGGCGCGCCCATAGAGCCCGCCCTGGCCTTCCAGGCGCGGGCGGGTCATGACGTCGTCTTCACGCCGGGAGAGGCCCGAGAGGTCGGGCCGCGCGAGCTCTTACACGTGCGCGCCGCGCCCGGGAGGGTTCACTCCGGGTTGGGAGGGGCTCTCGCGCCGCGCACCGCGCGCCGCATCTCGTGCCCTCCCCTCTCCTGCCCCGATGCCGCGGCGGAAGGCGGCCTCCGGCGGGCCCGGAGCCGCCGTGCCTGCCCCGGCGGCGGCCAGGCAGGCGGTGTTGAGTCGATTCTTTAAGCCGGCGGGACACCTGAGGTCCTCCCCCCAGGCTGGGGCACCTGGGAGCCCCAGCTGCGACTCCGGAGCGCCCCCCGAGCAGCAGGAGCTGCAGGAGCAGCGGAAGCAGCAGCAGCAGCGGAAGCAGCAGCGGAAGCAGCAGCGGACGGTGCGCTCTGGTCCGGGGGAGGGCGGGCACGCGCAGCTTGTGGAAGGAGGCGGGGTCTAGGCTTGGAGAGGGGGAGGGGTGCGGGGCCAAGAGCAAAGCGGGAGGCGGGAGAGGGAGGGGGAGATGGGGGTGCAGGCCACGGTGCCCGCAAGCTAGAAGTTCTAGGAGGATTACTCCAGAACTTGGGATTTGTGAATCTCATCAGTCTGACTCCTCCCTCCAGCCAGGTGTATCACAACCCATCCCCCACCTTATCATTAAGTTTGACTGTCTTACCCCTCTTTTGCATTCCAAGCGCTTAGCAAAGTACCTGGCACATGGTAGGCGCTTAATAAATGCGCCTAAATAAATAAAAAATATTGTTTGATTTATTGACCTGCCTAGGGGAGGGCTCAGTGGGGGCCGCACAGAACTGACGCCTCCTCCGCAGGCAGCCCTGGTTTTGCCCCCTCTTCTGGGGAGAATGGAGGGAGGAGGGGAAGCACAGGACTTATCCAATGTGCTGCATAATAATAATACTAATAATGATATTATTATTACTGCATATACCTTGCTGCATAGTAATAATAATGATAAGTATCATTTATGTAGCACTAAATAATAATAATAATAGATGATGATAGTTACAGTTAACATTTATATAACGCTTACATGATGATAATGATAACTAGCATTTATGTAAAGCTTTTTTGTTGTTCGGTCCTTTTCAGTCGTATCCCACTCTTTGTGACTCCATTTGAGGTTTTCTTGGCAAAGACACTGGAATGGTTTGCCATTTCCTTCTCCAGCTCCTTTTACAGATGAGGAAACTGAGGCAAACAAGGTGAAGTGATTTGCCCAGGTGTTACGCAGCTAGTAAGTGTCTGAGGTTGGATCTGAACTCAGGAAGATGAATCTTTCTGAATTCAGGCCAAGCACACTGGGCCACCTAGCACTTAATAATAATAATAGATGAAGAAGAAGAAGATGATGATAGCTGACATTTATATAGAGCTTAATAATAATAATAATTGATAACGATAGCTAATGTTTATATAGTGCTTAATAACATTGATGACGATGATAGCTAACGTACATAATAGTTATAATAAAAGGTAATATTTACATAGTGCCTGCTATGTTCCAGGCACTGTGCTAAGTCCTTTATAGTTATCACCTCATTTGATTCTTACAGTAACCCTGGGAGATAGGTGTTATTACAATCCCAGTTTTACAGATGAGGAAATTGAGGCCTACTGTGATTAAGTGACTTCCCCATAGTTAACAAGATCTCTTGACATTGGATGACAGTGGATCATGTCAACTATTTATTAGTTAACTTTAGCTCTAGCTGTACGGCTGACCCACCTTCTTTTTCTGATCTTACATGTCTCTGAGAGTATCCTCTATGTCATCTTCTGTGCCATTTGTTGGCAATGTACCAAAGCCTACCCATGCCCATTGTGTGACTCACCATCATCCTCTAGGTGACGAAACGTTTAATTCCTCAGAGACTGTGGTCTTTGATTTCCATGCATATGTGGTCATCTGGAGAATATTCATGTTGGAAAGACTGGCTTTTGTCTTGTAGAAAAACTTGGAATCATTATAAGCTTGTATAATTTTGCAGATGTACTCTGGCCCACTTTGTTCTGCCTGTACAGTTGTTGGCCTCTGCCCCTCTTGTATATTCATCAACGATTCCTTTGGTATCTGTGTAGAGTTTTTGTGTGCAGATGGCATAGTCTTCAATCGATCAGTCAACAAGCATTTATTAATTGCCTGCTGTGCATCAGGTACTGTGCTAAGTTCTGGGGATATGAAGCCCAGAATGAAATAGTCCCTGCTCTTAGGAACCCAACGTCACGTTCATGTCACAGCAAGATTTGGAGTAGGACTTTCCATAGGAAAGGAGATGAATGCTAAGAAAAAGCCATTAGATCTTACAAGAGTTCTTTGAGGTTTTGGGAGAGAGGTTTCAATAGAATGGTGGGTATGCAAATCAGATTGCAGTGAGGTGTGGAATGAGTGGGTGCTAATAAAATGGAAGTGAGCTCAAACAGTTATTAAGCATCTGCTATGTTTCAAGCCACTGTGAGCTTTGTGCCATGTACCATAAGCATGAATGCAACCACCGTGGTGGAACAGTGAAGTTAAATTGTTTGTAAAGGGCAGGAGACATCTAAGGTGAGGGTAAACTAGAGTCAAAGGAATATTTTTTTTTCTAAGATAGGGGAACCTAAACATGTTGGCAGATGGAACAGATTTGGTGGAGAGAGACAGATTAAAGATGGGAGAGACAGAAATTGATGGAATAGGATATAAATAAGCTCTTTGAGAAAAGGGATTGTTTCATTCTTTGTTTTTATATGCCCAGCCTCTATTACAGTTCTGGCCTGTGGTAGGTGCTTAATAAATGCTTGTTGGTTGATTGAATAAGGTCTAGGAGGGGTTGGAATCAAGGGTTCGAGAGATAGGTTAGTAGCTTGACTTGGAGGAAGACCACCTTGTTTTCTGAGGCTGGAAATGAGGAGAGAAAGAATGAAAACTTAGAGATCTCCTTATATGTGGAGGGGTAACATCAGGACAGCGTTCTGAGTATAGTAAAGTAGGATAATAGGTTGACAGAGAGGGTGGCTTAAGAAAAAAGTTTGGAATAATTTCTGCAGGCTATGCAACAAGGAATCAATGAGAGAGATGGACGAAACCATTATGGTGGAGCAGTAAGGTCTCATTTGAAGTTAAATTGTGTGAGTGCAAGGGGCCAGTTGATATATTTTTGTTATGATTTCCTCTTCACAGAAATTTTCTAACAGTTAGCATTGTCCCAAAGTGAAATGGGTTACCTTGGGAGGTAATAGGTTCCTCCTCACTGGAGGTTTTCAAGGGGAGGCTGGAGGTGACCATTTGTTAATGATGTTGTAGAAAGGATGAGTTGGACCAGATGCCCTCTGAGGCCTTTTTCAGTTCTGATATTCTTTGTTTCTGTGATTCGTGAATAGTTTAGTGAGAGTGATGGATATGGTCTGGTGCTATGGATTAACAGAGCAGAAGAAGAGTAAGGAGGCAGAGGATTCAGGAGTGAACAGCACACTACTGAAATGTTTGACTAACGGGTCAAGATTGTGAGGGGAGGAAATGAAGCCAAATAAATGATGATGAATTGGGAGAAGAGGGAAGGAACAAGTGCCAGGAGGTCATGATCAAGGTGAAAACTAGGTTTACGAGGAACAAGTTTGTGGGAAAAGGTGGAAACAGAAGATTGTGATTACTCACTCTTTATAACTTCTCCGTTTGTGACAAGGGCACCATCAGCCTTCCCTTCACCCAGGTCTTCAGCTTTGGAATTACCCTTGAACTCTCCCCTATCCCTCCATTACCATTTAGTGCCAATTCTTGTCGATTTTGATTCCATAACATATACTCCATCCATTCCTTTCTTGATATCCACATGACAAGCATCCTAGTTCAGACCCTTATCACCTCCCATGTGGGCTATTGCAATTTCTGATCTTTCTCCTCTCCAGTCCACCTTTCAAATAACCGCCAAATTGATATTCCTTTTTTTTTTTTGAAAGACTGTCTCCCCATCTTGCCTAGCAGCCCCCCAAGAGCCTCATCCCCCTCCTCATTAGCATGGAAGGTTTGAACTGCTAGATTTTCACCATGGACTGGTTCACCCCTCCTTAAGGCGATCTGGTAGCCCCCTGATCCCAAGGACTCACTATTTTGGTGCTGTTACCTACTTTAGGTAGGCTGTAGCCCTACTGCATCTGAGAATTCCTGAACTCAAATCAGTCCAGCAGCCTGAGCATCCTCAGTAGCAGGGACTGTAGGTGTGGGCTGCCACACTTATCCAAACTGATATTCCCAAGGGTCAGTCCTGACCACGTCACTTCCCTGTTTGTGAAGCACCGGTGACTCCTTGATTCTTAACCTTGGATCTGTGCTGTCCTGTCTTGCTCTTCATTAGACCTGCCTTATTTAAACTGATGGACAATTATTCCAACTTTGGCAAATTGGTTAGTGGTTACCTAATTATGTGTAAGCCTTAGAAGGTAAGTATAGAATATATAAGTAGGTGAGTAAGTAGGTACCAATGTGGAGCAGTGGATAAAGAGCAATGCCTGATGTCAGGAATACCTCAGTTCAAATCTAGCCTCAGACACTTAATGACTGTATGATCTTGGGTGAGTCACTTAAACTCTATTTGCCTCAGTTTCCTCATCTGTAAAATGGAGATAATAACACCTCTCAGGGTTGTTTTGAGGATCAAATGAGACAATAATTGTAAAGCACTTAGGAAAATGCTTAGCACATAGTAGGTGCTATATAAAAGGTATTATATTATTAATTGTATTTAAATGGGGATGAGTTGAGTTTTGTATGTCTCAATATGTAATATATAATAATAACTAGAAATTATGTTGTGCTATAAAGTTTGCTAAGCACTTTAAAGATATTATTTCTTTTGATCCACAAAACAACTATGTGAGATAAGTTCCATTTATAGATGAGGGATTAAGTAGTTTGTACAGGGTCACACAACTAGGAAGTGTCAGAGGTAGGATTTGAAGTCAGATTTTCCAGGCTCCAAGCCCAGAGCTCCATCTGCTTTACTGCCTAGGTCCACTGAGTAGATGAGGAGTGAACTGGGAACCAGAATTGCCCTTTGGGAATGTCAGTTTGGATGGGCTGCCTTGGTTCTAAATAGATACAGTGGTGGGGAACCTGTGGCCTTGAGGCCCCTTGTGGCCCTCTAGGTCCTCAAGTGCGGTCCTTTGACTGAATCCAAACTTTGCAGAACAAATCCCCTTAATAAAAGGATTTGTTCTGTAAAACTTGGACTCAATCAAAAGGCCGCACAAAAGGACCTAGAAGGCAGTATGTGGCCTCAGGGCCTCAGGTTCCCTACCCTGACCTAGTACTTAAAGGGATGAAGTTTTCTTAAATGGTGGAGGCAAGAATGTGAAGGACATTTTTTGCTTAGGGCGTGTGTGTTAGAACATCTCAGAAGTAAGACTTAAACTGCTCCGTGGTATTCAGGTTTCTCCAGGCTCTACAAGTGGAAATAATGATAAATCATATCTTAAATTTTCATATTTTAGGCCTCTGAAGTTAATGGATGTACGAAGAGGACCCTGGAATATGATGAACCTGTTCACAAGAGAGCAAAGCAGGCTCGAGGAGATGAAGGAGAAGAAAGTGAAACTGGAACAGTTGGGAGCTGTGGTTAGTTCCAGATTAACAGGCCTTCAGTTTAACTAGCCAAGAACCTGATTCTCTTGTGCAGGGACAATGAAGTTGTTGGAAAACTTCTTGCTTTTTTCTTTCTCTTTTAAAATTGTTTATTGATATCTTTGTTGAAACTACATAAAGACTTTTGAGACAGTTGGTATTATTATTATGATGGTGCAATAATGTTTCATCTACATTCATGAATTCAGTTTGTTTAGCTATTCCCTAGTTGGTGAGCTCTGTGCCTTTTTCTGTGGGGAAAGAACATGTTTTCTCATTGTTTACGGGTAGAGTATCTGTTCCACATGCAGGATCCTAGGGTTGCACTGCCTGGTTTGAGGGGCAGGGGCCATGAAGGAGTTCCCTATTGGCATTCTCTAGTACCTTTGGTAACTTCTCAAGGGCTAGATTTTTTGGTTGACTAAAGGGGCATAGTTCAATCACAGGCCCCCCCCCCCCGCTTTTTGGTGAGGCAATCGGGGTTAAGTGACTTGCCCAGGGTCACACAGCTAGTAAGTGTCAGGTGTCTGAGGTCAGATTTGAACTCAGGTCCTCCTGACTCCAGGGCCAAAGCTCTATACACTGCGCCATCTAGCTGCCCCTTAATCACAGTTTTTGATGAGTAGTTTCATTGCAGTAGTCTCAGTGAAAATTTCTGAGGTAGGAAAATTGAAGATTTTTTTTTTCCTATAGGAGGTATTGGTGGTGGTGGTGGGGTAGTTTAAGCGCAAAATGTGTCATTTCATTGCTCCCAGGATGTGTAATCTCCATTTATGGAACCATCTTACTTCCTTCCCAAGGGAAAATTTTACTTATAAATTTACAAGCCTCCAAAATAGTTGACGTATACAGAAATAGAGAGTTAGAACTTAAAAAAAAAGAAAGACTTGATAAATAATGTATTTTTTCTTCTATGAGAGAGATGGGATGGTGGCGTGGTGGTTGTGGGAGGTATATCTAGATTTGCCTCATCTTTTTTGATGAGCTCATTCCCTGTTCTTTCCCCTTTACATCAAATACTCTCTTTTTACTTCTAAAAGTAATTTTAGAATTCCAATGTTGTTTGACCTTTGGAGTCTGATGTGCTTTGTAGCTAGGGCAGGTGGTATCTGTAGCAACTGTCTGCTTGTGAGTCCCGATTCCTGTCTGAAGTTGAAGCTGAGTGAGAGTGTGTGTGTGTGTGTGTGTGTGTGTGGTCTGTCTGTCTAGGTTGTCTAAAATAGCCAACTTGTAACTTAATTGCAGTACAGTTGTTTTCCTTTGTGTTATATACTGGTTGTCATCAGTTTCACTTTCAAGAAATGCCATACCATATGCAAAAACAAACATTTTGAGGTGTAATTTCCAGAGGCTTATTAATTTTGAATAATGAATGAATGCCCTTATAACTCATCTACTTATAATACTGGCCAGCATTTATTTACATCCTTGTACAAAAAGATCTGTTTCTCAGTGAAGAACTTACTTTAAAAAAATCTGTTAATTATTAATTACTATTTGATACTGAGATCCTAACGTCATATTTTCTTTTAATTTAAAAATAAACTTGTGCTAATTATTAATTGCCATTTGATACTGAGATCCTAGTCACATTTTCTTCTACTTTTAAAAATAAACTTCTGCTAATTATTAATCACTATTTGATACTGAGATCCTAAATTCATATTTTCCCTTAATTTCACAAACAAACTTTAGCTAATTATTAATTCTACATGATACTGAGATCCTATAGTCACATTTTCTACTTTCAAAAATAAATTTCTGCTAATTATTACTTGATTTTATTCTAAAATACTAAAGTTATCTTTTCTTCAAATTTCAAATTTAAGAGCCAAGAAAACGTCTGAGGCCCAGGATGGTTTTAAAGTCTCTAGAAAAACTGAAAGAATTCTGCTGTGATTCTGAGCTTCCTTATAGTAGAGCTCCAGCTATACCACCACAGGGGAGATTGGCAATTTTGCCAAAATGTACGGATTTTGAAGACATAAGCCTAAATGCAAAACATATTGTTCCTTCTGAAGATTCCAGTTGTCAAATGAATCAGAAGGTATGTATCTTGTGTCCAGAGGAGCATTTATTGAGAGGAGATTAGGTTTTGGTTCCCACATGGGGTCCATTAGCACCATGGAAGGGATTCAGAAGTGTATGCTTGCTTTCTTTCTTTTGTCAATTGCATTGTGGCATATAGAAGTGTATGCTTTCTTTCTTTCTCTAGCCAATTCCATTGTGGCATGTCTGAGCAGTGGGTTGCGTTTGGGTTTTGGCAGTGGAACAGAACCAAGAATCGCCCATTTCACTTGGGACAGCTCTGTTGGGAAGTTTTTCTTATATCCAGCTTCGATTTGCCTTTCGTAACTTCTACTCATTATAACTAGTTTTGTTCTTGGGTCAAATAGAATAAGTCTAATTCTGCTCTTCCAAATGGCAGCCTTTCTGAACTTAGGCACCTAGAATTGAACTTATTCCAGATGTGTTATGAACAAAGCAGTAGACTGCAGGACTGCCATCCCCTTATAAAATCTTGGAAGCTATGCCTCTCAATGCAATGCAAGATTGCATTGACTTTTTGTCTGACATATTACACTGTCAACTTATAATCTCCTAAAGTCCCCATTTGTAAATAGACAAACTGCTGTGTGACCATTCCCCCCATTTTGTCTTGGAGAAGTTTAGTTGAACTTGAGTGTAAAACTTTGCATTTTTCCCCCCATCTTATAATTTCAGTCCAGTTTCCTAGCTTGTGGAGACTTTTTGGATATTGACTGTCATGAAGTGAGTCAGATACCCCTCCCAGCTTTGTGTCATCTATAGATCTCATAAGGAAGTCATTTAAGTCTTTATCCAAATCATTGACAAAAGTGTTAAATAGCATAAGACCAAGTACAGGAGCACTCTATGGGATGCTTCTTTCTGTGACATTTAAAAAGATTCGAGAGACATAGTTTCTGGGTAATTTAATAATTTTATTAATAAGGCCAGCAGGTTATTAATAAAAGGATGGTCATTTAGCTGTCTCTCTTAGACCAAAGATCCCTAATGACAATGGGCTTATATGCCCATCAAAGAGGAGGTGTTCCTGAGAGATACATAATCACCTCTGATTGGTTAATCAAATGGCAGGTGGGCTATCTTGGGGTATGTGACTTAGATCACTCAAATCTTGGTCAAAGAGACATCAATTTCCATATCACTTGTGTTGATAATAGGGAAAATCAACATGTTCCCAGGACCTGTTTGAGCAAATGCGATGAGCAGGAATATACCCATTAGCCCAAATTTAGAATTTCTTTTACTGTTTGATTAGATCTTGTCCTGGATAAATCTCTAAGGGATATTTCCCACACTGGTTGGTTTCTGGATGAGAAAGTAGAAAAGGGGAAAAATCGTGGAGCTAATACAAATAGTAACTTATTAAATATAAGAGAGAAATACTCATTTCTCACATTTCCAAGTTTATGGAGAACCATTAAGTGACTACAGTAAGCCATTCAACGAGTTCCAAATATCAAATTGTTCTGTGATCTAGCTCACATCACTATCTTCTCCATATGAAGAACGTGAGATACATTATCAAACGCACTTCTAGCATTGATGTCTGTGTTTTGCATATCCTCTTGTATGTGGGTTTGCTAGAACCTATGTAGTCTTCTTTTGGAAAGAAGTCTAACAAGCTTGGTTTTATGGTTTCCTATTCTATAACAAAGTAAAAGCTATGTAAGGGAGATTGGGTGAGAGGGTGCGCCTCAGTACGTAATGACATTGACGGCTGATAGGCAGCAGGACAGCCAAGGAAGGAGGTCAAAAATTATAGGGGACAAACACAAGAACTCAAACACAGCCATTTTTGTTTTTAAAAACTTTATTGATCTTTTCTTTTATATCACCTTCATTTTCTTTTTTTTTCTTCAATTTATTTATTTATTTTTAGTTTTTAACATTCACTTCCATAAGCTTTTGAGTTTTAAATTTTCTTCCCCTTTCTCCCCTTCCTCCTCCCCAAAACGGCATGCAATCTGATATAGGCTCTACATATACGTTCATATTAAACATTTTAACATTAGTCATGTTGTAAAGAAGAATTAGAACTGATGGGAGGAACCACAAAAAAGAAGAAACAAAACAAAACAGAGAGCAAATAGTATGCTTCAGTCTGCAATCTGACTCCATAGTTGTTTCTCTGGATATGGATAGCATTTTCCATCATGAGTTTTTTGGAGTTGTCTTAGATCCTTTCATTGCTGAGAAGAGCTAAGTCTATCAAAGCTAGTCATCACACAGTGTATCGCTTTCATTTTCAAAACCTCTCTTCTCTTCTTCCTGGTTCAAATTTGGCCCCAGACACTTACTAGCTATGTGACCTCGGGCAAGTCATTTAACCCTGTTTGCCTTAGTTTCCTCATCTATCAAATGAGCTGGAGATAGAAATGGCCAAACACTACAGTGTCTTTGCCAAGAAGACCCCAAAGGACAGAACAACAACAAACAATTGATCATCGTAGTTACATAGTATTTGGTCAAGTTTTGTTTTTCTGTTTCCATTAACACCTTTGTTGTCATTGGTTGTAATGTTTTCCTCATTAGGCTTACTTCACCCTTCACCAATCCATAGAAAGCTTCCCTTCCCTCCCTGCATTCTCCATATTTATTGTTTCTTAGAGCATAATAATATTCCATTGCCTTCTTGAATTACGGACTGTTTAGCTGTTCTTCAGTTGTTGGTCATCTACTTTATTTCCAGTTCTTTGCTACTTTGAAAAGAAGCATAGCCATTTGTAAATCCCACTTAACTTCCTTTACATCTCTTTCATCTGCCCCCTTGGATCCATTGTATCTTGTAGTAATCTTTGTAGTGAAGGACTTTCTTGACAAATTGTTTCAGTTTCTTTAGATCTTGAAATTAGTCTTCTGCCTTCAAAGAAAAAATCAGCTTTTCAAGATAACTCTGCTTGAGGTTGCAGCTCTTATTTTTCTTCATTTTGTATAGCATTTTTTCCCTTAAGCTCCTCTTTTTTTTCCCAAAGTCTGAGTTCCAAAGTAATTCCCTCCTCTTCTCCCCCCATCTTTAAATGTTCTTTCTTTGTTCTTCTTGACAACTTGTAAAATTGTTTCTTTTCCTTTAAAGTTTAAAAACTTGGTGTGGATTTGGATTTCAGGATATGCCATATCCCCTTCCATGCCAAGTTTATCCTCTTAGAAAAATTCTTTCATTCTTTAGAACTGGGGATGCATAGTGCTCAAAGAGCAAGGGACTTCTCAGTATCGACATCGGTTTTACCTCCCATTCCTGGAGTGCATTCCCTCTTCATCCCCATATTTCAGAATCCTTCTTTTCTTCTAAGGTTTAGCTCAAGTTCTTTCTCCTCCTTGTAGGACTGATGCCTCTGGCCAGCTGATAAGTGTTCTCTCCCCAGATTTTCCTAAAGTATTTTGTCTAGCTCTGTCCTCTCTTTTCATCCCACTCTGCCTTTAGATTCACTCTACCTGTATCCTTGTCATATTCCCCTGATAGAAAGTAAGCCCCTTTATGTTTATTCTCTGACTTCAGACAGACCACTGGCTCAGAGAGAGTCAGCATATTTGAAAGTTAGCTGGTGTAGTGGATAAAGCAATGGACTTGGGATCAGGAAGACTCATTTTCATGAGATCAAATCCAGCCTCAGACACTTAGTAACTGTGTGACTCTGGGCAAGTCACTTATCCCTGTTTGTCTTAGTCTAGAGAAGGAAATGGCAAACCATTCTAGTATCTCTGCCAAGACAACCTCAAATGGGATCAGATAGGACTGAAAAATGACTAAACAGCACCTGTTGTCCCATTGGTGAATGTTCTTAGAATTGCAGAATCTCAGAGTTGGAAGAAATCCCAGAAGTCATCTATTTCAACCTGTGTCTGAACAGGAATCCTTTTTGTAACATTACTGACAAGTAGTTGTCCAGCTTCTTCTTGAATACCTGCAGTAATATAGAGCTCAATCAGGCAGCCCATTCCACTTTTTTTTTTTTTTTTGCTTTTAATGAGGCAATTGGGGTTAAGTGACTTGCCCAGGGTCACACAGCTAGTAAGTGTCAAGTGTCTGAGACTGGATTTGAACTCAGGTCCTTCTGACTTCAAGGCCAGAGCTCTATCTAACTGCACCACCTAGCTGCCCCCCTATTCCACTTTTGAATAATTCACTTAGTAAGTTTTGCCTGGTAATCATTGGAATCAGCCATGTCTGCAACTTTTAGCACTTTGCACTGAGCCTCCCACATAGCAGATGGTTATAAATGTTTGTTGAATTTGAGGTATTATATTCTATCCAATCTATCTATCTAGTTCTTATATCTGGAGTTAAATGAGTCTAATTCCTTGCCTGGGGTTGAGCAAAACAAATATTCCATATCCATTCACTTGCTAGAAGGGTTGTCTCTCATGTCCATGGTCTCCCTCTTCCCTGTGTCCCCCTGCCCTTTAGGTCTTCTCTATTCCAGTTCTTTTATGATGTTTTTGCCTTCCTTATTTGCCCTTCTTTTGGATGCCGTGGAGCTTGTGGATGCTGTTTCTAAACTGTGATACCTAGATGTAGGCACAGGGCCCTACATGCAGTTTGAGCAGGCCTCTCTGTGCTCTCCCTCCTGACTGCCTCCTTGACTCCTAAGGTTCTTTCAAGTGCCACCTGTTTTAGGAAGCCTATCCTGATGCTCTTCACCTCTACCGTTAGTGCTGTACCCTCAGAAATGACTTTGCATCTATTTTATATGTATTTTATATGTTTATATTTGTTCTGTTTGGCTCCCAGAAGGCAGAGCCAGAAGTTTGAAAGAGGCAAAGTTAGGCTTGATTTAAGAAAAACATTTCTTGACAATTGAAGATATCTGTAAGTTTGTGTGTACTGTCCTAGGAGGTAGTAGGTTTCTCCTAACTGCAGGTGTTCAAGTAGAGTTTGGATGACCATTGTAGGGTCTTCTAGTGGAGATTCTTTTTCAGGTGTGAGTCACTTTAGTTGGCTTCTTAGGTCCCTTTTAGCTTTACAATTCTTAACTTTGATCAAATTTCATCTTATTGGACTTGGCCCATTGCTTTAGCCTGTAAATGCTTTTGGGTCTTGATTATGCCATCTACTGTCTAACTATTCTTAAGTAAATTTGGTTTGACTTTTGGAAACTTGATATGCATGTAATCTATGCCTTTAATTAAGTCCTTGATAAAAAATGTTAAACAGAAATAGACCAAGGACGGCCCTGTGGCATTCCATTATGCTTTTTTTTTTGAGCTGAAGTTTTCTTGTATGTAGTTTCTTTTAAGAAATGTTTGATAGGAATGCTAATGCAAACCAAGAATCCTTTGAATTGAAGAAGTAGATTAATTTGATTGAATATTTAAATGATGCTATATGTATGATTATATACTTTGAGTCTTCTCAAGAACCTTCTCTTGACAGGGAGGATCACTTTTTGGTCTTGCTCATTTTTCCTTATCAAATAAAAGTCATGAGAGCCTACAGAGTACGTCTGAGCCCAAACCTACTAACAGAAGAACCAAAAGCATTTATACTCCATTAGAAATGCAATACCTAGAAATGAAAGAGCAACATAAAGATGCCATCTTGTGTATTGAATGTGGATACAAATATAGGTTCTTTGGAGAAGATGCAGAGGTAAGTTGCTTTTTTCAAATATTTCAGACTATTTTTCTCATCTGGTAGCATATAAATTGTGGCATATAGCATTTTCTAAAATTTTTGTTTCATTTTCTGGGTTGGTGAAATTGTTTTCAGCAAGCTAGGAAAAGTGAATCTAATCAAGCCTTTAAAATGTATCTATTTACTTTTTGTTTTTGTGTAAAAAAATTAATTCAGAAATAAAAGAGTGAATGTTTTTTAAATTTGTCATATGCATAAAATATGCCAATTTGTTTTCGTTTCTGACCTCCTATACTGAAGAGTCATTCTGCAGGCAAACAGAGCACTGTTAGGATTTGATAGGTTTAGGTAGATAAAGAAAATCTTGTTGTGTATTTTTATAAAAAGCTTTCAAATTCATCTGCTGGTCCTTGGGGTCTAGCAGTTAAATTTTGCAAAAAGGGAGTAAAGCATAATATTCTGCACAGGAAAATGGGATTGTGAATTTAGTGAGTCTGTATGTATTTACATTTGTATTTTGCAGATTGCAGCACGGGAACTCAATATATATTGCCATTTAGATCACAACTTTATGACAGCAAGCATACCTACTCACAGACTTTTTGTTCACGTACGCCGTCTTGTGGCAAAAGGACATAAGGTCAGCTTTGACTTCTGTTGGTTGGTAAATGAGAGTGGCAGTTCTTTTAGACATTAGGAAAAATGAGTCTTTGTCATGAAATTGGTTTGAAAGACCTCAGATTTGTATTTTGACCTTTGGGAGAACTTTGTTTTTACTAGTCTTTATTCTTGGCACTCTGTCCTCATTGGGTTATATTTTGGTCGATTTTTTTTTTAAATGCAGCTAAATGTGGCAGAAGGGCACCTAAGTGATAAAATGGATAGAGCAGTGGGCTTAGAGTCAGGAAGACCTGAGTTCAAATCTGGCTTCACACACTTATTAGCTGTGTGACCCTGGGCAAGTCACTTAACCCTGTTTGCCTCAGTTTTTTCATCTGTAAAATGAGCTGGAGGAGAAAATGGCAAACCACTCCAGTATCTTTGCCAAGAAAACTAAAAATGGGGTCACAGAGAGTCAGACGTGACTGAAAACGACTGAACAATAACAACAACAACACGTGTTAGAGGGATCCTAACTAATTTGTCTAGAAAAACTTAAGCTATTTCTATGAAGTACTATCTCAGAATCTGGTCCCTCCACATTAGTAATGTGTTCCATTCTCTACATTCAGTATGCATGAATTAACCTTTCTTATGGTTTAAAATGTAAGTATTTTAAAGTCTGTCACTTGATTTTAAATTTTTTATGGCATATTTTTACAGGTGGGAGTAGCCAAACAAACTGAAACTGCAGCGCTGAAAGCTATTGGAGAGAATAAAAGTTCTGTGTTTACCCGAAAATTGACTGCTCTTTATACTAAGTCTACACTTATTGGAGAAGATATCCTTTTGGAGTTGATGATTTACCTTTTAAAAGTTGCTAATGCTTTTTGTATAGTTTTTTTTTTTAAAAAAAAGAAGGTAGCTTTATGTAATCTCTTCTTTTGAGTTGATAACTTTTTGACATAATAAGAAGGCACATCAAAACATGGGTATGTGCTATAATGATTTTTGATAGAAGATGCCCGTATCAAAGTGGGGGGAAAAGTGGTCAGTTGAATTAGGGTTGAGAAAATAGATTTTTGTAAATGGCCTGCTAGAAGACAATGATAGTTCATTAATGTCTTTTATTTTTTGGTGAGGATGCAATTATTTTATTAAACCTCTATTATTGGAGAGATGTTCCAGGGACAGACTTTGTAGTCAGAAACTTCGTTTCCAAAGGTAGAAATAATATGAGATCATAGGACTCTGTTCTAGGCTTGGATTTCCTCTTTTTGCCACATCTTTTCAGGGCACATCTCTTTCTATTTGTTGAACCACAGCTTTCCAGCTTCCTTGGCCTGTTTAGTTATATTTCTGTCAGTCTTAGGGTGAATGCTGGCCATGGGGAGGCTGCATAAAGATCCCTGCAGCCCAACACACACATGCATGGGCTGTGTGGCACTGTCATCTCAATTGACCATTCATCTGTCTCACATTCATCTGCTGTACCTGGCCTCTAGTCCATTCATGAGATTCTCGTGTATTAGGCTTCATGACTGCCTCCTGCTCAGATGCTGCCTGCCCCGTCACGTTTGGAACTTCTTCCAAATTCCTCGGTGCTCAGCCCAATTTATGTTAAAGGGAGCTTTGTTCTTAAAAAGTGTGTCAATTGGAGTCTTAATTGATTTCTTCCATGTATTCTTTTAGTTACCTTCTGTTTTAATTCTTTGTCTCTCTTTATTTTTCACTTTTCCATTTCTTCTACTTCTTTTCATTTTTTTACATTTTTTCCTTGCCAGTTACTAGGTATTTTAAGGTAAAAAGGGAGGTTACTTCCATTGTGTCTTGGGTGCTTTGGTGTACTTGTTCCTTTACTTTTAGCATTAATTTTATGATGAAGGTTCAAATCTCAGGTAGCATAATTCACTAGAAGATCAGTGGTAACTATTTGAGTATTCATAGGGTGTTACACACTTTTTTAGTTGCTTTGTAAGTAAGAAGATAGACTATTTTGAGGACATGTTTTCTAGCAGGCTGTATTTGAGATGAGCCAAAACCTAGAATCACAAAATATTAGATCTAGGAGGTACCTCGTTCTGATTTCATGTGATTCTAGAAAGGACACTGATTTGAGAGTCAAAGGACCTTGGTGCAAACTCCTACGCTACCGCTTATTACCACCTGGTTGACGTTTGGCCAATTATTTGCATTTTAGTTTACTCACTTGTAAAATGAGGGGTAAATATCCTATGACCTTTCAGGCCCCTTTTAGCTCTAAATCTATAATGCTGTGGAACTTAGGTAAAAGTAAAGGAGATTAGATGCTAACTAAACGTGAGATACAAAGCTATATGGGAATGAGGTATCCTGTGAGAGTATGGATAACTGATCAGTTTTCTTGATGGAGAGAATAGATAATAGATTTGCTGTTGTTAATAGGAGTAGGACAAATCAATTTTATTTCCTTTAATAACTATTAAATGTGAATCCCTTGATGAAGCTAGATGATCCTGTAAATGTTGAAGAAATACCAAGTGATACATCTAACAATTATCTCCTATGCATCTGTGAAAATAAAGAAAATATGAAAGATAAACAAAAGGGGAATATCACAATTGGCATTGTGGTAAGTAATATTTGGGTAAAATATGAATGATAAAAATTTCCTATATGTCTTATAAAGATTTCCTGTAAAAAACTTGTAATAGTACATACAACTGATATGGTGCCAAAATATTTTTCTGATTTATCATCAGCATAAAAATGTCTTTATTATATGCTTAATTGTGACTGCCATTTTATGGAATTATTTCAGGAACTTCACTGAGTCAGGCCTCGTCCCCTACAACTTCAAAATTTAAGATGGACGTAGTTAAGCGGACACACACGTATGGTACTTTAGCATTGTAGGCTGAAAACATTTAACAATGACATAGAGTAAAGTGTTTTATAAATTAAAGATGAGTCCATCCTATAGTTTGAGTGCATAGGTAAATAATAGTGTGGTAATAATTGAAGGTAACTATGGGAATATAATATCTATACTTGGAAAGATAGTCGAGGCAGAAAAGGATTAAATACATCAAAGGATTAATATTGAGGAAAGTTTTAATCCACTTTACAGAAATAATTTATACAGTTTGGCTTTCCTAATCTTCTCCAGTTGGTTTGAGTATAGTATATATGTTTTGCACTAAAGTCCTCTTGTGATGTCTCATTTCTTGCCCAAGGGCTAAAGGAACTGAACTATAGCCATATTGATATTCTTCTTGTAAATGAAGTTGACATAATGTTGTTATATCATGTCTCATGGACTTTCCTCTGAGATGTGAATCCAGAGGTTGGCAGAAAGAATTTTTTTATGTAATCCGAAAACAAAAGAAACATTATGGTCGTCTTGCCAAGCAATCGATGCTGAAGATGAATATAAATGAACACATCATTGTGAAAATAATCCGTTGCAGGGGGTGAAGAAGTTTAGAAATCCTGTGAAGAAAGTTACTTCTATTCAAAGTGTATTTTGACAATCATTGACTTCATTGTGAAAGGAATATGGGAAGATAGTGAAAACTGTTTTGGAAAATTTAGGTTCAGGATCATGAAATGCAGAGACCAAAGACATAAACTTCTTTGTTGTGAATACTTTTCTTTCTTTCTTTCTTTCTTTTTTTTTTTTAGACAATTGGGGTTAAGTGACTTGCCCAGGGTCACACAGCTAGTAAGTGTCAAGTGTTTGGTCTGAGGTTGGATTTGAACTCAGGTCCTCCTGACTTCAGAGCCCGGTGCTCTATCCACTGCACCACCTAGCTGCCCCGTGAATACTTTTCTTAAGAAGAGAGTTGGATGGCAAGCACTGAATAACACTATTTTGCATGATCATCTTAACAGATAGAAAATGACTAGCATCCATGGTCATTTAATTTTTTTTTAATTTGAAAGATTTTATATATTGTTTTTCAAATTATGTGTGAAAACAATTTTTAACTTTCTTTGTTTAAATGTTGAGTTCCAAATTCTCTCTTTTTCTTTTACCTGTCCATCCACTCTGAGACAGTAAGCAATTTGATATAGATTATATGTGTGCAGACATACAAAATATATTTCCATATTAGCAGTATTACAAAAGAAAACACACAACAAAACAAAAAGCCCAAGAAAAATTAAAAGAGTAAAAAAAAGTATGCTTCGATCTGTGTTCAGACACTATCAGTTTATAAGTCCTTTGGAATTGTCTTAGATCATTGTACAGCAGAGAAATAGCTAAGTCATTTACAGTTGTTTTTCATACAGTATTGCTGTTACTGTGTACAGTGTTCTTCTGGTTCTGCTCACTTCACTTTGTATTGTATTAGTTCAGGTAAGTCTTTCCAGGTTTTTTGGAAGGCATCCTGCTTATCATTTTTTATAGCATAATAATATTCCATCACAATCATATCTACAACTTGTTCATCTGTTCTCCAATTGATGGGCATCCTCTCAATGTCCAGTTCTTTGCCAGTACAAAAAGAGCTGTGATAAATATTTTCATACAAATTGATCCTTTTCCCTTTCCTTTGATTTCTTTGTGATACAGACCTTGTAGTGATATTGCTGAGTCAAAGGGTATGCATAGTTTTATAGCCCTTTGGGCATAGTTACAAATTATTCTCCTGAATGGCTGGATCATTTCACAACTCCACCAACAGTGCATTAGTGTCCCTTTTTTTCTACTTTCCCTCTAGTATTTGTCATTTTCCTTTTCTGTCATTAGCCAATCTGATAGGTTTGAGGTGGTACCTTAGAGTTATTTTAATTTGCGTTTCTCTCCATATTCATTTCAAAATCAAGTGTCTGCGTGTTAAGCCAGTTAAGCAAAGGTCAAAATAAGCAAAATTAAAAGAAAGGGTAAAGATAGAGAGAAGACATACTATACATCTGTTAGAACAAGTTGAAAGGATGGAACAGCCTGGGATCTTGGCAAGTGTTACACGATTTTCCCATTATTATACAGTCTATTTACTATGTCCTGTAATGTTCTGGGCCTAGTTCAGTGTCTATTTTTAATACTTGGGAGTATCTACTCACATTGAAGCAGTAACAGACCTATGAAAGTGCTGAAGTACATGACCTGGCTCATTTGTGGAAATCTGCCCATTTAGGATCATTTGGGACTATTAGAGTCATTAGTCCTGATGTGTTTTAGGCACAAGTGAGATCCTTTAACCAGCAAAAACTTCTGCTTACTTTTTTTGCCTTTTAACATCTTCTAAACAGTCCTCAAAATGTCTTTCTGTTGTAAGTTCATTCTTTATTCCACTTATGTCAAATCAGAGGGAATGATGTTTACTTTATTGTTAGGCAATTTCTGAAATGGCTTAACATAGCATTTGTTTTTGAATGGCTCTAAATGGTGTTCCTAATGAGTTTAGTACCAATATGGCAGCTCACAGTTAGGTATACTTGCTTGTCATTGGTCAGGTAATGGTCCTCATGTGAGTAGTAAAAATAATAGTAATTAATGATGATTGATATTTGTGTAATGCTTTAGGTTTGCAAAAATCCTGTTTGTCAGAGATTAACTCTAAAGAGCACACTAGAGGGCAGTGTATCCTTGTTAAGCCTTAGTGTTAGGTTAACTGATCCGTCATGAAGCATGAAGCAGTGAGGCAATATGGTCTTGTGGAAAAAAAAAATGGTTTTAAGTCAAAGGATCTGTGTTCATAACCTGGGTCTTTAAGAATTGGGGATGGGAGATTGTAACCAATGAACTTCCAGCTCTAAATTTGTGTTCTGTAGGGATGTTTCCAGGACTAAAGTTAAGTTAATCAAAGGGAGTGATCTGGTATGTATGAGCAATTGAAAGGGATCTACAGTAGTTTGTCCCTCAAAAGGATGGCATGAATTCCAACAAAAAATTTCTAATTCATGGTTAGGACACTTTTTCATGAGAATAATGAGACCGTGAAGACTCTTTGTTGCTTAAATTGAGGAAAGTTCAGTGTATTCAGCGCTTGAAGTTTATTTTGCTTAGCAATTCCACAGCATTCATAATACAATAAGGTACTATTGAGGATATAGCACCTTTAGAGTTACTTCCTGGTTTGGCTGATGCTCAATCCAACTAATATTGATGTGTAGACAATTCATCCTTCAAAGATTATGGATTTATAGGTAAAGAATCCTTGAAGGACCAACATGGGTTTTTACAAATAAGAGCAGACGCTGGAAAAGCAAATTAATTAAAGTCTGAAATGCTGAGGTGGGCACTCTTGATTGTTGTTAATCCTTTGTTATTTTTGCCGCTCCCCACCCTGCTATTCCCTATTCCTTCTGTCTTGTTTTCTGGTTTTGTAATATTTTAACATACAAAGAGGGTTCTACAATATTAAATAGTATAAAATCTGTACTTTGCTAGTCCAGCATAAATGTTCTTGGCTCCAGGCAGTTAGCTAATTGCAAAGCAAAGCTGTTTCTAGTTTTGGAATTTAAGTGTTTATTTCCAAACATTAATATTTCATTTTTGAGTAAAGCTATTTGTTTCCCTTGACTGCTTTTCTTTTGCTCTAGTCAGCATCATGTGACTGTGAGGTTTTTTTCTTTTCAGAGTGGATGGGTGATCTCCTTGAGATAAAGGGGAAACTAAAATGGATTACAGCTGTGTTTATGGGTTTTAAGAAATATGTTTTCTTTAAAATCCACTTATTAAGTGAAGTTTAGGGTGCTACTGTTCAGGATTATAATTCCTTCTAAAAAAAAATCATTTCCCATTGGGTGGTGAGGAAAATGATTTGTTAGCCTTGAAAATGTATGGTAGGGTTCAAATAGTGATACTTTTTAATAAGTCTGAGTTGTTGCTGTTGTGATGGTGATGATCAATGACATACTTAATTTCTCTTATATCTTTGTAAAATATTTGAACTATTAGGCTTATATAACCTATCATGTGTACAGCGCCTGGCATATAATAAGTGCTTAATAAATGCTTGTTTTCCTCCTTAAAAACGTAGCAAAACACCTATTTTCCATTTGACTCAGCACACCTGTTTTTCAGGGAGTACAGCCTGCAACTGGCGAGGTCGTTTTTGATAGTTTCCAGGACTCAGTATCCCGTTTAGAATTAGAGACCCGAATTTTAAGATTGCAACCTGTGGAACTTCTGCTACCGTCAGAGATGTCTGATCTCACTGAGAGGTTCATCAAGAGTGTAACTTCTGTCAGGTATGTGTTTACATTTTTTTGTGGGGGAAATAAAGTGGATTTGGTCATAGTAGTGGCTATTCATAATAAATCCTTATTAAAGGTTGATGTCTTAAAAGATAAATTTTTTAAATAATAGCCATTTAATTTATGAAAGCATTACAGAGGTTCATTCCTGAAGAAAAATTTATTTAATTTTGAAAATGCCTTTTCAAGGTGTCAGGTTTTATATTTCGTACCTCTTGTCTATCGGCTTTCTCTATATGTAAATTCATATAAATTTGGAGTAATTTCATATGGGAAGCTCCATATTGGTTGATTGTCCTTCAGGTTAATAATGTTTTTTTTTCCTGCCTCAGTTTAGCTTCATTCTTGCAGAGTATAAAGGCTCCTATCTGAAAGAATTGAAAAGTACATTTAAAAAGGAAAATTTAAAATATTACCACAAGAGGTCCTCATAGCATTTCCTATTTCATGAGTCACCAGGCCATTACTTTAAATGATTCAGAAACGGTTTGCTTTTATTTTCCAAGCTGCAAAACTACTTGCATGTTTTTTTTTCTTCATTTAGTAATGTGAGTGTTCATGTCAATGTTAATCTAGGATGAAATTAAGTTGTAATTGTTTCTATCCACCTAAAACTTTCAGTGTTTTAGCCTCTTATTTCTTTTGTGTTTTACCTAAACATGAAAATAGAACACTTGGGAGTATGGCAAGAGCGAGGGCAAAGTCATCCTTCTGCGTGGCTGAGGTGGAGTGGAGGAGCAGGTTATGGGAACTGAGCAGATGGAAGATGTGGGAAGTTGGAGTATTTGAGGGAGCATCGATTCTCTACAGTTAGGGGAGGGATTGGGATGGAGAGAATGACTGTGAGCCAGGCCAGCGAGGAAGAAAGGAGAGCGTCATGGTCATCGATAGATATTGGCCATGAGAATCTGGATTGGGTGTTAAGTCTGAATAGTATGAGTCTCCAAGGAAGAGAGTTTACTGAGTGATGGAGGGGGAGTGAGAAGGGGTTTGGAAGTGACCATGGGAAGCATGGAGTATTCTGACTCCTCCAGCACAACCAGTGAGTCAGGGGGTATGAGTGAAAGTGCACCCATTTTTGGAAAGGGTGGCAGTGATGCCATGTCATCAGGAGGGAGCCAGAAGATGGAAGGATTGAGAGAGGAAAAGGTTCAAGATGAAAGCAAGTTTGTTAATTATGGAATAGATATTCTAGAGAACCCACTTGAAGGGGTAGAGATGGGAGTCGGGGAGTGACACATACAATGGGGAATGGGGTTTGCGTATCTTCGACCAGGAATTCAGAATCATTGGAGTGATGGGAATTTGCTAACCACTGGAAAATAAGTCAGGCTTATCAGTGGTTATAGAGAGGTCTGTTGAGGGAGGCAGGTGATTATACTTTTCTGAGTCTTGCCTTAAGAGCTGTCCTTATGCAAGGTGATCATATTTTGTCTTTTGAGGCCAAGAAAGCCCACCTTACTGCAAGCAGGAGCAAGGTTGGGAGAGGCTGGTCAGGAGGTAGGAAGTGGAAATACCAAGTGGGAGGTAGTCTCCAAAGCACTGGAGAAGGTCCTGGGGTGAAAGAAGCCAGTGGAAGCAAGTGGGAGCAAGTGGGAGCAAGTGGGACCAAGCCAGATCTGGAACTGACACATAACTTACTCAGAAGGCCCCTTTCCATTGTGTTACTGTCATATTACTCTGGCAACTCAGAGAGAAGAGGCAGAGGGTGGGAGATAGATTGCTAGATCCGAGATGAATTGATGCAGGGCTCTCTGGGAAGGCTCTGGGTTGAAGAGGCCAGGATGGGGCTGAGGGCCCACTGGGAAGGCCCTGGAGAAAAGACAAAAGCTACTAGAGACAGGTGACTGATGAAGACTGACAGTGGACTTATGGAGAGACCCTTTCTAATCTTAGACAACCATGTGGTGTCCATTTCTATCCAAATTCTACTTATCTCTCATTCGGCTCTCTTCGGTGTCTGTGCCTTTGCTCCTGTCTTTTTTTTTTTCTGGAAAAGAATGTTTTTTATTCATACAATTCCTATTTATGTTTTGGTAGGTGGACCCCAGATATTGTATCCATTCTGTGGTTATTTTGAATGAAATTTCTTTTTCTATCTTTGTGCTATCTTGTTTTGATAGTATGCAGAAAGGTTCATGATTTTTGTGGATTTGTTTCATTTCCTCCTAGTTTGCTGAAGTTATTGTTTCTAATAATTTTTTAGTTGATTATCTAGGCTTCTCTAAATAGACCATCATATAATCTGGAAAAAAAGAGATAATCATTTAGTTCCCGTTGCTCAAATGTATTTACTTTTCTAGGTTTCTCTTGATTCTGGGATTTGCAGTTCATAGTTTTTACTCAGTTCTCTCTTTTTTTCATCAAGAATGTTTGAAAATTCTCTATTACGTTAAAGATCCATTTTCTTTTTAATCTGTACGATTGTACTGAATCTTACAGCATAAATTATTTTTGGTTGTAAGCCTTTTTTTGTACCTTTTGAAATATTGTGTGCGTGTAAGATTTTTCTCTCTTTTATAAGTAATTACTGTCAAATCTTGTGTGATCCTGACTAGTCTTCTAGGTCTTAAGTTATTTATTCTGATTGCTGTTTTTTTGTTTTTAAACTTGGAAGCTCTGAATTTTAGCCATGACATTACTGGAAGCTTTCTTTCTGGGGTGTTTTTCAAGAGGTAATCAAAGGATTCTTTCTGTTTTTTTACTTTGCTTTCTGGTTTTGTTAAAATCTGGACAGTTTTCCTTTATGATTTCTTGAAATATGACATCTTAGATTTTTTGTTTGTTTGTTTTCAGAGTGTCCAGTCATTCTTAAATTCTATCTTCTTGACCAATTTTCCAGGTAATTTGTTTTTAATAGCAGATACTTTGTATTCTCTTCTCTTTTAAAAAAAAATCCTCATTTTGTTCTAATATTTCCGGTAGTTTCATGGAGTCATCAAGTTCTGTTTGGTCTCTTCTAATTTTCAGGGAGTCTGTTACTTGGATAAAGTTTCTTACCTTCTCCTTTAAGCTATTTATTTTCCTTCTATTTCTTTCCTTTAGAAATCTTATTTTACCTATAATTACATTTTTTTCCCCTTTTAGGTACTCTTAAAGTCCTTGTAGCCAAGCTATATTTTTCTGCCTGTTACTCTGCTTCTGAGTTTCCCTTTTGGTCATCTTTTGACCTATATTCTTCATAGTATTTAGTGTCTTTTTTTCCTCTCATATCTACAGTCTCAGTTCCTGATGTATGTGTGCGTGTGTGCAGGCGCGCATGCACACACACACACACACGCACACACACGCACACACGCACACACGGTACACTAGGGCCAGGCTCTTCCCTTTCCCCCTACTCTTGGTTGTAGTGGTTAGGCCCTATTTGATTATGACCTTGATTTCTTGGCTTCCTGACTTTGACTTCCAGAGGGCTGGCAGACTTCATTATTACTAGTTGAGAGACAGATCAGCATGTTTATAGGTAGAGGGGAAGGAGCCAGTACAGAAAAAGAGATTAAAGGTGCTCGAGTGGGGATGATGAATGAAGCAAGGTTCCAGAAGACATGAGAGGCAAATAGAAGAGGATTAGTCTTGGCAAGGAGGAAGGGCACCATAGCCTGAGGCTAGGGAGGAAAAGGTGAGTGAAGGAAGGAGAAGTTTTGTAGTACAGAGGAGCGGAGAGGAGGAATCTCAGTCACATGGTCTCAGTCTTATCAGTAAAGTTAGAGACGAGGCCATCAGGGAAAAGAATAGGTGCAGGTGAAATTTGATAGAGAAGGAGAAAGGAGAGAAAGCTTGAAATAGCCTGTGTGGGAATGTATAAACCAGAGATCAATAAAAGGTTGCTGTACGTTGGTGCCATGCAGTCAGAAGGGCCAGTCATCCTCTAGTGAAAGTTGAAGGATTGAAATGTGAAAAGTTATACAACCTCAAAAGAGAAAAATAATATTTGTTTGAAATTTGAAAAAGGCAAGTATAGGAAAAATTGATGGATTGATATAGTATTAATTCTTTAACCCAGTATCATACCAAATATGGGTATACCAAGTATGGGCTCAAATATGGCTGTTATTTCAGTTTCTGAATCTGTAGAGCTTATGATGTTTTATGATTTATTATGTTATGATTTTTTCTTTTTGCTCTTCTTTCCCCTGTTGTGCCTTTCTTCTCTGGCCAGGCACTCAGACTGTGGCCTGTATGAATAGTTCTGTGAGGGTTTGCCTTTCCAACTTTTGACCAATGCTTTTTGAAAAGACAAAAACAATTTTTTTTTAAATGAGAAAATGGAATTGATTGAACTATGTGTTCTTTCAGAAAGGTGGCTTTGACATTTTTGAATAAGACATTACATTAAAAATCTGTGGATGTAATAGCTAGATAGCTAGATAGATATAGATATAGCTTGCTTTAAAAAGTCAGAAAATCATAAATTTGAAAAAGAACACCTTGGCTGTTTCTAGAACAATTGTTTCTGAGTCTGTACCCTGAACTCTTTCACCTTTTGGATGAAACCAGTCTCTTCTGACATTATTGGCAATTTCTCCTGTGGTACGTGCCAGTAAATTAAGCTCCCTCCTGGGTTTAAGCCGAATAGGGATAGATTAAACTGTTCTTATACATGCCAGTGCTACAGGCATCTGAAAAATAGAACTTTATGAAATTGGAAATTTTTACTGTCTTAGAACTTTCAAAGGTGTCATGCATTATTTTTAACCTGTTACATCATACAAGCTAAGGCAATGAATGGACAAAGAAACATTTTCTGACTTTTGTCATCTTTTTACAATTTGAATGAAAGATCATTTCAGGCCCAAAAGCATACTTGAGGCTATTTTTACCATGTTTCTACCCCATGGTGTTACTGCACTGATTAAGACTATGTATTAAAATGTTATTCAGAACGTGAAATGCACTTAAAGAAGAGATTTTATTAGAGTTGATTTGTCCCGCAGGTCTTATGTAGGACTTTCCATCCCATTATGACCCTAGAGATGTAGTTTTAAGTGTTG